TGTTTGGCCAAGGGATGTACATCATATCTAGCATTCGTGATCGATGCTAAAAAGGAAAAGAAGGAGGTGCAGAATATTCTGGTGGTGTGTGATTATCCGGAAGTCTTTCCCGAAGATCTTCCCGGATTGCACCCTGATCGACAAGTAGAATTCCGTATCGACTTGTTACCAGGAACGACACCGATAGCAAAAGCACCGTATCGATTAGCACCAACCGAGATGAAAGAACTTATGACACAACTTCAGGAGTTATTGGACAAAGGTTTCATTCGATCTAGTTCATCACCCTCGGGAGCCCCGGTGTTATTTGTAAAGAAGAAAGACGGGAGCATGAGAATGTGCATCGATTACAGAGATCTGAATAAAGCAACAATAAAAAACAGGTACTCGTTGCCGAGGATCGATGACCTGTTCGATCAGTTGCAAGGTTCGAGCTATTTCTCGAAGATCGATCTTAGGTCAGGATACCATCAACTAAAGGTGAGAGAGCAGGATATCGAAAAGACTGCATTCAGAAAAAGATATGGACACTATGAATTTTTGGTTATGTCGTTCGGACTAACCAATGCCCCAGCAGCTTTCATGGATTTGATGAACAGGGTTTGTAAACCATACCTTGATAAATCCGTGATAGTATTCATAGACGATATCTTGATTTATTCGAAAAGCAAGCAGGAGCATGAAAAGCATCTGCGTGAAGTGCTGGAAGTTCTGAAAAAGGAGAAGCTGTATGCAAAGTTCTCCAAAAATGAATTTTGGATTCAAGAAGTCCAAGTTTTAGGTCATGTGGTTAACCAAGAAGGAATAATGGTTGACCCAACGAAGATTGAAGCTGTGATGAAGTGGGAACAACCAAAAAGTCCTACGGAGATTCAAAGCTTTTTAGGATTAGCCGGATATTATCGCCGATTTATCCAAGGCTTTTCTTCGATTGCTACTCCATTAACAGCTTTGACCCACAAAGGAGCTACTTATGCTTGGAATGAGAATCATAAGGAAGCGTTTGAGAAGTTAAAGAAGAGATTGTGTGAAGCACCGATTCTTTCGTTACCTGAAGGAGTTGATGACTTCGCAGTTTATAGTGATGCCTCTGGAGTTGGGTTAGGTTGTGTTCTGACCCAAATGGATAAAGTGATAGCGTATGCATCGAGGCAATTGAAAGAGCATGAAAAGAACTACCCCACTCATGATCTGGAGTTGGCAGCGGTAGTATTCGCCTTAAAGATATGGAGGCATTATCTTTATGGTACTAAATGCAAACTTTTCACTGATCATAAGAGTCTTCAATATCTCTTTAATCAGAAGGAATTGAACATGAGGCAGCGGCGCTGGCTGGAGCTACTCAAGGACTACGACTGTTAGATACTTTACCACCCTGGTAAAGCAAACGTTGTTGCTAATGCTCTCAGTCGGAAGGTAAATCTTGAAAAGAAGAGGCCAAGAGCGTTGAAAATTGAAGTCGTCTCGACAATTGTGGAAAGTATAAAGAAAGCTCAAGAGGAAGCTTTAGAGAAGAATGAACGAAAGGAGGAACGTTTGGGAAAAACGTTGGTGTTTGATACAAACGGTCAAGGACTGAAGGTATTCAAAGATAGGATTTGGGTACCTAAGACGGGAGGAGTAAGAGGTCTTCTGATGGAAGAAGCTCACAAAACCATGTACTCAATTCATCCCGGCAGTACGAAAATGTATAGGGATCTAAAACCCTATTACTGGTGGCCGACGATGAAGCTCGATGTTGCTAAGTATGTGGCCGAGTGTGTAACATGTGCCAGGGTTAAGGCACAACATCAGAAACCGTATGGGAGTTTAGAACCTTTACCTGTACCCATGGGTAAATGGGAGGATATTACCATGGGTTTTGTGACTAAACTACCCAGAACAAGGAACGGTCACGACGTGATTTGGGTGGTCGTTGATCGCTTCACTAAGAGTGCGCATTTCATAGCCGCCAACAAGAAATGGTCTATGGATAAACTTGCGAATTCTTACGTGAAGGAAATTGTGAGGCTTCACGGTGTTGCGTTAACGATTGTATCCGATCGTGACAGTCGTTTTACCTCAAGGTTTTGGAGAAGTCTACAAGAGGAATTGGGTACCAAGTTGTGTTTGAGTACAGCTTACCATCCACAAACCGATGGTCAGAGCGAACGAACAATTCAAACGTTGGAGGATATGCTGAGAGCATGTACCCTGGAATTCCAAGGTAACTGGGATGAACACTTACCTCTAGTAGAATTTTTCCTATAATAATAGTTTCCACTCAAGCATCAAGATGGCACCTTATCACGCTTTGTATGGAGAAAAATGTCGAACGCCGTCATATTGGCTGGAAGCTGGGGAAAAGCAGTTTATGGGACCTGAAATAGTCCATCAAACTGCTGAAAAGTTTAAAGTGATTAGGGAAAGGATGTTAGCAGCTCAAGATCGACAAAAGAGTTATGCTGACAAGAAAAGACAACCGATATCCTTCGAAGTTGGAGATTCGGTTTTACTTAAAGTCTCGTCGTGGAAGGGACTTATAAGATTTGGTAAAAGGGGAAAGTTGAGTCCAAGGTTTATTGGACCATTTAAAGTTCTTCAGAGGATCGGGAATCAAGCTTACAAGCTAGAATTACCGGAAGAACTGGAGGGTATTCATAATACCTTTCATGTGTGCTATTCGAGAAAGTTCACGGGAGATGTGCCCGACATAATTCCGATTTCTGAGTTAAGGTTGGATGAAAACAAAAGGTTGATCGAAGAACCTGAGGCAATCGTTGACCGTAAGACTAAGAAGTTGCGACGTAAGATGGTCGATTTAGTGCTGGTGCGATGGAAACATACGAATGGGCCAAATCTCACCTGGGAAACGGAGAGTGACATGATGAGTCGCTACCCGCATTTGTTTGCTGATGTGTGATTCCGGGGACGGAATCATCCTAAGGGGAGAGAATTGTAATGCCCGTGTTTCTAGGCTAGGCATTAATATTGACGTTATATTCTAGGTTAACCTTTGTAACCCATTTTGAAGAAATGAAAAGGAATTATGTGAATAGTATGTAACATCCCAAAAACACAGTCTGAAAATTTCGTTTTAAATCAGTAATAAAACCATATTCATCAAACGTCATATAAGAATCATAGACAATGTATCTCAAAACATCATAACAACTGTCAAATATATCAGAGTATAAATATCGCAGGCTGAACAAATTGTGTGTGCACTGCAATCTTCCCGAGCTCCTCCTTTGAAAACTGAATACCTGAAACCAAAATTGAAAATTGTAAGCACAAAGCTTAGTGAGCTCCCCCGAACTACCACATACCATACAACAACATATAAAGCAACTACCGGGCCTTGCCCACTGCATCGGACCGAAGTCTGAAAACTGCATCGGACCGAAGTCCGGAACTAACCAGGGCCTTGCCCTCTGCATCGGACCGAAGTCCGGAAACTGCATCGGACCGAAGTCCGGAACTAACCAGGGCCTTGCCCTCTGCATCGGACCGAAGTCCGGAAACTGCATCGGACCGAAGTCCGGAACTAACCAGGGCCTTGCCCTCTGCATCGGACCGAAGTCCGGAACTAACCAGGGCCTTGCCCTCTGCATCAGACTGAAGTCCGGAAACTGCGTCGAACCAAAGTCCGGAACTGACTGAACATAACATAGCATAATCATAACTACTGGCATAAACACATATACTGCATACTGCATCGGACCGAAGTCTGGAACACATAACACAAAAACATGCTTGAATCACAAAGACATCAAGCACACTGAACTACTGCATCAGACCGAAGTCTGTAACTACTGCTAACTAAACGGGCTGACATTGTGGCCGTAGACCCGTTCCTACTGAAAGGAAACTCACCTCACACTGCTGAAGTCCCGCTGACAGAACCATAGCTGCTCGATGACAGATTTCTGATCTGTCAATATCAAAACAACACCCAATTAATAATTGGGTTCCAACTCATAATCATAAGTCCAAACTTGGGTAAAAGACTACTTTACCCCTATCTTATCTTGACTCAAGCCCAAGGCCCGATCCAAAGGCCCAAAAAGTCTAATAATGGACCAAGGCCCAACTATGGCCCAATTTTCCAAATTGGGCCCAAACCTTTACATGGTCCTAAGTAAAGGCCCAACTACTTAGTCTGGTCCAAACATTTGGCATTTCTGATGGCCCAATATCATATAATCATTAAGGCCCAAACTATGGCCCATCTATGGCCCAATTTTCCAAATTGGGCCCAACCCTCACATATGGGCCTTACCCTAAAGCCCATCTAAATGTTCTAGTCCCTTTGCTTGCTCTTGAATGGTCCATTATTATCTCAATCACCAAGGCCCAACAGGAAGGCCCAACTCAAAGTCCAAGTGAAATTAGGGTTTCACATAAAATGACGATTAGGGTTAAGTGTTTCTACTTAACCCATTAAGGACTTAATCCATTAAGTCCTTTACTCTACTAGATAAGTGCTATGAAGTGATTGGGCTTAATACCCAATCCAATCTCAATGGCCCAAGAGTGGGTCCAATAAGTCTAAGGCCCAATTACTCACAATTAGGGTTTTCTAAACCCTAATTAGGGTTTCCACTCAAACATGGCCCAATAGGCCCATAATTAATCTTTAAGCCTATTACGGTTTTGGCTAGGTCCATTAGGGTTTTGCTTGTGGGGCACCACCCACTACCACATCGGGTAGTGGTGGTCAATGGCGGCTCACGGCGGCGGCCACCACCTTACGGTGGTGGTTATTATTATTTTTATTATTCGTTTGGTAAATACAATTACAATGCTTTAATCCAAAATAACCACACACACTAACTATCATAACTACTCACACACACACAACCACCCTAGTGGTGGCCGGCGGCGACACGTGGCGGCAGCCACCACCTTCCGGTGGTGGCGGTGACTGTTTCCGACTTTCCGAAAAGACAAAGCACACACCCATACACTTCAAATTGCATACTACAATCCAGCCACCCACCTGGTGGCTCAAGGCAGCGTCAGAATGGTTTTTGGGTTGGCAGCCACCACTTCTCGGTGGTGGCAGCGGCTTCTTTCGTTCCCGACAAGCAGCAACACTCCATGACACTTCTTTGCTCGGATTCGGGACGTAACCACCCTCGGTGGTGTATAGTGACGGCAACAACAGTACCATCGACGACAGCAGCGGCACTACGGCAGCAATACGGCAGTTCCCGATAACAACGGCGGTCGTAGGCTGAGGCAGCCACCCAAACGCGAACCAGAAGGAGAAGGAGGAGAGGAACGTCCGAGAGAGTCAGCAACCTACCCCTGACGTCGTTTCCGTCAACTACGGCGATCCTCCGATGCACTGGACGTCCCCGATGGCGGTGCTGTTGTGGCGTTTGGACGACAAAGGAGCGGCTGCAGTGAGCTCGGCAGCCCACTGCCCTAACAACCAAGGCATCCTTCATTTGCAACCATCTTGGCGTCACTCGAAACTCGTATGGCCGGAATACAAAAAGAACTCGGGTGACTCGCGACTTCGGTGATGGCTAGGGAGCAGCGGCGGCCGGTGGTGAGGGTGATCTAATGGGTGGTGCGGCGCCGATAGTAGATGAAAGGAAAAGTGGCGGCTGCATTTGTCCTTAGGGTTAGGGTTTGTTTAACCTTTATACCCGACTCCACTCAATACTTTTCCATAATGGCAATAACAGTCCCTCCCTGCCCCTTTTTCTTCAAATGCAATCCAAAAGTTACCATTTTAGCCCCTGCCTACAAAACTCTTTACAAATTAAATCTGAATTTTACCAACAGCCCCTTACTTCATAAAATCTCTTCAAATTAAGCCCCAACAATTACACTTTTAACCCCCAACTTCCAAAATTCTTCACAATTTAATCCGGGAATTACATTTATTAATTTATTTAAATAAACGGGGCGTTACATATTATGTGTTTTATGTGGTTTATGCTTAATTACTAAGAGTTAATTAATTAAGAATAAAAATGAGCGTCAAAAATAAATATTAGATAAAGCTGATATCTATTGAGAAAGTTGTAGTGGTCGTGACAAAGATTACGGATATATAAAGAATACCAAAATCCGAATTATAACGAAGAAGTTATGACCTGTCGAAGTTTCACGACAAAACCGACACGGTGTCGAATGTCGTAAAAAGTGAGTTTTTGATAAACTACTTTTTAGCCTTAGTGATCTAAACTAAAGTCGTAGTGTTCGTTAAACCGAGAGTAGGTATAAAAAGAACGCCCAAATCTGACTTCGTATGAGGAAGTTATGATTTTTCGAAGTTTCAGTTTAGCAGTAGACAGCTAAACAACTCGAATTTTAGATCGAGTGATTTTTAGCCGACACGACCTAAACGAGAATCGAAGGTCTCATCAATAGTAGCACAACGGTAAAAAGACAGACGAAAACGGACGTCGGATGAAGAAGTTATGAATTTTTAACGGATTTCCTGTCCCGGTCTGTTAAAAATAATAATATAAAAATTAAAGTCAAAATTAGCCGACGAAATCTAAACGAAAGTTGTAGAGCATAATTTTACCTACGCGTGCATATAAAGAACGTCAAAAACGGAGCTCGTATGCAAAAGTTATGGATTTTAGAAGTTTTGGCGCGAAAATCGAGAAATATTGTCAAAACCGGGAAATTTCGCATACGTGGACTTCGGCCACGTCACCCTCGCTCAAAAGGTGCCACGTGCCCAAAATTGTTGTGTCATTCGAAGTGGTCTACTAAAAAATCTGACGCGTGTCCTTTCTCGCGTGTCCGAGCCTCGCATAAGATGCCACGAACCCCCCTCCTCGGATTAGACCTCGGTCCAATTAAAGGCCGACAGCGAGACCCTCGCATGCGCAACCCACGTGTGAGCCACCTGCGCACCCTTGCTCTCCTACTGCCACGCGTCTTCGCTGCTGACTCCTCCTTCTTAGCCGACTTCAGACCTCCCCTATAAATAGAAGGCTGTGAGCCTTCTCGGGTAATTTTAAGAAATTGCCATCTTTCACCCCTCTTTCAATATTTCTTTCATTCTAACATCCCCCAAAGCCCCGGTATCAATTATAACACCCGGAACACGCCCCGAAGTGCTCGAAGACCCGGAAAATTTATCTTTTCGGTTTCGAAGCCCGACCTTTGCAGAGTCCGGTTTCTCAATAAAACTCCCGGTTTTATTAGAAACGAACGTTTTAGGAAACGAATTGCTGCCCGATTATCATCAAATCATGTGAGTGTATAGTAACCTTCATCTTACACCTAGATATGAAGTATTTTCTATAAAATACGTGCTACGTGTAATTATATTAATTGTTTAATTGAGGTGACTGTTGAATAGATGTTTTATACAAGTTTTAAACTGTATATGTATTTTTATCTACAAATATGTTGGGTAAAACATGGGTAGATAGTTGATGTGTGATGAAATAAAATGATGAGAGGCCTCGATGTGATTATGATTCAGTCATCTAGCAGAGTTTGGATGACGACCACAGACTTTTCTAGACAGTCCAGTGGAACGATGGCAGACCCGCAACTTGTAGGTGTTAATGAACTTGGGTGTTCATTTGTTGTACTCCATCCCCCTCATGGTTGCCTTTAGGACATGTATGGCTGAGGAGTCCCCTTAGCAGTAGTGTCCATCCCGATGATATTCTTTAGGCTAGGTCCCTTGTGATAAGTGTTTAGGGACGTAAAGTGGGGATAACGGGAATGGGTAATCAGGGTTATTGTTGATTAATGAACTTAATAAGTTTATTATTATTGTGGTTTTGTAACACCCAAATTTTCAAAACAATTTTTCACATTTTATAAAACACATTTTCATTCATAATCGTTATAAAAACACCATTGTATCACATAGTCAATCATAACATCATATCCCAAGATCATAATAAAAATCTCCCCGTGTGTGTACTGATCAAGTCGGCGCCTTCCCGCGATCCTCGCTGGTACCTGAGACACATAACACAACACAACACTGTAAGCATAAATGCTTAGTGAGTTCCCCAAAATACCACACACAACACATATTAGCCACTCGAGGCTATAACTCTGATGACCCTCTGGTCAAGGTGTCTCTGTGGGACCCTCCAGTCCCATAACTCTGTGGGCCCTCTAGCCCTAACTCTGTGGGCCCTCTGGCCCTAACTCTGTGGACCTTCCGGTCCTAACTCTGTGGACTCTGTAACATACATAGCATATAACACATAGGAATCACATCATGCAAAAGCATACATCATACTCTGTCTCATAGCTCTAATTACCACTCTAGGTAAAGTATAGTGAGAAGACTCACCTCGGGTAACTCGGTAAAGCTCGAACTCTGTAAAATCAGGTCTAGCCTCCGCCTAATCATGTAAAATAAATACTCTCAATCAATACATCTCTCAAGGCTAGACTATTCCTCCTCTTAGTACTCTCAGAAGGGTAAAAGACCATTTTACCCCTCTCATAACTCAAAGGCCCCACTATAGACCAAACCCTAAAAGTCAACCCTCCAGGTTACGCTGCGCGTACCAGATGTGTACGCTGGGCGTACCCGGCAGTCTCTCAGAATCGGGGAACGCCACCCCGTACGCCGCGCGTACTAGGATTACGCCCGACGTAAATCCCAGTTTCAGTCCCTTAGCTCTTGAGGTCTTAAACAGTTAAGACTCACGTCCAACTTTTAGATCTGACCATTTCTAAGCCTCTTAATCCATAAAGTCGATGACTTTAAGCCTTTGCATGGCTGAACAAGTCACTAACACCCAAAATATACCATTTCCTAACACTAGAAAGCCCAATACTCAAGCATGATCTCATATCCATGACCAAGATGGGAACTTTATGGATCTATAACACAAATACCACTGAAATGGGACAGATCTAGGTCCATGGAGCTCATTACACTCATAAAGTCTCCACCTTTGGGACTTTTAACCCTAAAATGGTCCATGAAGCAACAAACCAAATTAAGAGGAAAGTTTTGAACTTTATACCTCCAAATGCAACTCCTTCCTCTGTAGATCTCAGATCCAAACTTGCACTTCAAACTCTAGTCTCCACAAACTCCTCTCCTTCTTCTTCACTAGCACACCAAGGCACTTTTAGCTCCAAAATCACACACACTCACTAAGAACGAAGAAAAGTTCTCTCTTAGGGTTTTACTCACTGCTATGGAGGCTGAGAAATGAGCCTTAGCATCCAATATATAGGGCACAAGTCAGAAATTAGGGTTTGCACCTGGACACATTACGCCCAGCATAACCCTGAGTACGCCCAGCGTACTCAGGCGAGTCCGCGTCCAAAATAAGCGCATGAGTACGCGCAGCGTACTCTTGAGTACGCCCAGCGTACTCATTTGCTACCAATTCCTCTTAAGGGCTTAACTTGACACTTTGAATAAAAGAAGGGCTAAATAGTTGTACCTGAATTTCGGGATGTTACAATTCTCTCCCACTAGAACTAGACTTCGCCCTCGAAGTCTCACTCAACAAATAACTCTGGATACTGCTCGCGCATCTCTAACTCCGGCTCCCAGGTCATTTCAGAACCCTTCCGATGTTGCCACTGGACTTGAACCAATGGCACCTCCTGGTTTCTCAAAGTCTTGATCCTTCGATCCATAATTGCAACCGGTCTCTCAACATAATTCAGGCTCGCATCCACCTGAATGTCCTCTAACGGAACCACTGCCGACTCATCAGCGATACACTTCCTCAACTGAGACACGTGGAAGGTATCGTGAATCTGGCTCAACTCCGTAGGTAGCTCCAAACGATATGCTACCCTGCCCACCCTGGCAGTCACCCTGAAAGGACCAATATACCGAGGTCCCAACTTACCCCTCTTCCTGAATCGGATCACCCCCTTCCAAGGAGATACCTTCAGGAGTACTAAGTCACCAACCTGGAATTCAAGCTCGGATCGTCGCCTATCCGCATAACTCTTCTGGCGACTCTGAGTGGTTCAACAACCTCTGTCTGACCCGCTGAATCTGCTCAGTCGTCTGAAGTACTATCTCTGTACTACCCATCACACGCTGCCCGACCTCACCCCAACAAATGGGAGTCCGGCACCTCCTCCCATACAACAGCTCAAAGGGTGGCATACTGATGCTCAAATGATGGCTGTTGTTATAAGAAAACTCAACCAAGGGTAAATATGTGTCCCAACTTCCTCCGAAGTCCAATACACATGCCCGAAGCATGTCCTCGAGCGTCCGAATCGTCCGCCGGCTCTGCCCGTCTGTCTGTGGGTGGTAGGCGGTACTGAAATGCAACCTCGTACCCAACTGGAGATCGACTCAACCCCGACCTCTATCATCTGATACTCATCGTTGGACCCTTCGGTCCGGTCTATATCGTTGGACCCTTCGGTCCGGTCTGTACAACACATCACCAGGACTCAACTCAACTCAAGAGTTTGGTCCGCCCGTAGTTGGAATCGCTCGTTCCAATGACTCATTCAA